GGCTTGCCACCTCTTTACTGCCAGGTGGGGTAGAAGTCCAGGTTTCTTACCAGGCCTCCATTGACATCTGCAGGAGACGATTTGTGGTTATGGCTGGGTGGGGATGGGAGTTCTGACTCTCCACTGACACTGTGATGAGGGTAGCCTTGTTACCTACCACTTGGCAGTGGTCAAAGTCCTGACTCTCTACTACCTCAGGGGGGAAGTAGGACAGACATCTCATTTTTGGTGGTTGCGGGAGTGGATATCTGGTCTGGTCTCCCACATGGTCTCCACTGGGGGTAGGAGAGCTGTTGATACTGGCCAGTTGGGATGAAAGTCCTGGCTCCCTATTTGGCCTTCTCTGACACTACCCTGGTGGGGGTGGTGGGGTACTTCATTACAGCTTTGCAAGGGTGGAAGTCTAGGCTCCCCACTGGCCTTTTCTGCTGTGGGTGTGGGTGGTGACCACAGTTTTTTCTGTGATGTTCAGCTAGGGTAGAGTGCTTCCTGTTCAAAAGTTTTCTGTCTTACTAGGCTGCCCGTCTGCTGGTAATGTGGCTAGAGAGAGTAGGCTTTTGTCATCTGGGCTTGTTGGCATTTCTGATTGCCCGATTCTTTAGCTCCAAGTCTAGGATACACGAGGTAAAAAGAAAACCCAGAGAACTCACCACCATGTCATTCCTTGGACACCAACTTTACTAGCTAGTCTGCCTTCTTCTTTCCTTTCACAGTCTTATGTTTGTTTTATACATAATGTGCAGATACTCTAGATGTACTTAGTGGAAGGACATCATACATGAAGAAAGCAAAAGGTCATTAAAAAGACAGGAAGGAAAAAACCAAACATGGATGTCAGAATAGACTCTGAAACTTGCTCTTGAGCATACAGCAGCTAAAGCAAATGGAGGAAATGATGAAGTAAAAGAGCTAAACAGAAGATTTCAAAGAGCCACTCAAGAAGACAAAGTAAAGTATGATAATAAAATGTACAAAGACCTGAAGTTAGAAAACCAAAAGGGAAGAACATGCTCAGTATTTCACAAGCTGAAAGAACTGAAGAAAAAATTCAACCCTCAAGTTGCAATATTGAAGGATTCTACGAGCAAAATATTGAACGACACAGGAAGCATCAAAAGCAGATAGAATACACAGAGTCACTGTACCAAAAAGAATTGGTCAATGTTCAACCATTTCAGAAGGTAGCATATGATCAAGAACCAATGGTACTGAAGGAAGAAGTCCAAGCTGCACTGAAGACATTGGCCAAAAACAAGGCTCCAGGAATTGATGGAATACCAATTGAGATGTTTCAACAAAGGGATGCAGTGCTGGATGCATGCACTCATCTATGCCAGGAAATTTGGAAGACAGCTACTTGGCCAACTGACTGGAAGAGATCCATATCTGTGCACATTCCAAAGAAAGGTGATCCAACAGAATGCAGATATTATTGAACAATATCATTAATACCACACACGAGTAAAATTTTGCTGAAGATCATTCAAAAACGGTTGCAGCAGTACATCGACAGGGAACGGCCAGAAAGTCAAGCTGGATTCAGAAGAGGATGTAGAACCGGGGATATTATTGCTGATGTCAGATGGATCTTGAATGAAAGCAGAGAATACCAGAAAGATATTTACCTCTGTTTTATTGACCACGCAAAGGCATTCAACTGTGTGGATCATAACAAGTTATGGATAACATTGTGAAGAATGGGAATTCCAGAACACTTAATTGTGCTCATGTGGAACCTGTACACAGACCAAGAGGCAGACATTTGAACAGAACAAGAGGATACTGTGTGGTTTAAAAATCAGGAAAGGTGTGCACCAGGGTTGTATCCTTTCACCATACTTATTCAATCTGTATGCTGAGCAAATAATCCAAGAAGCTGGACTATATGAAGAAGAAGGTGGCATCAGGATTGGCAGAAGACTCATTAACTACCTGTGATATGCAGATGACACAACCTTGCCTGCTGAGAAGTAAGAGGACTTAAAGTACTTACTGATGAAGATCAAAGACCACAGCCTTCAGCATGGATTACACCTCAACATAAAGAAAACAAAAATCCTCACAACTGGACCAATAAGCAACATCATGATAAATGGAGAAAAGATTGAAGTTGTCAAGGATTTCATTTTACTTGGATCCACAATCAACACTCATGGAAGCAGCAGTCAGGAAATCAAATGGCATATTGCATTGGGTAAATCTGCTGCAAAAGACCTCTTCCAAGTGTTAAAAATCAAAGATGTCACTTTGGGGACTAAGGTGCGCCTGACCCAAGCTATGATATTTTCAATCACCTCATATGCATGTGAAAGCTGGACAACGAATAAGGAAGACCAAAGAACTGATACCTTTGAATTATGGTGTTGGCAAAGAATATTGAATATACCATGGACTGCCAGAAGAACAAACAAATCTGTCTTGGAAGAAGTATAACCAGAATGCTGCTTAGAAGTGAGGATGGTGAGACTTTGTCTCACTTATTTTGGGCATGTTATCAGGACAGACCAGTCCCTGGAGAAGGACATCATGTTTGGTAAAGTAGAGGACAGCAAAAAAGAGGAAGACCCTTGATAAGACAGATTGACACAGTAGCTGCAATGATGGGCTCAAATATAGCAATGATTGTGAGGATGGTGCAGGACCAGAGTTTTTCATTCCGTTGTACATAGGGTCACTTGATTTTAATAGCTGTCATGGCTGAAAAAAGGCTAGTTTACAAAGCTATTCAAGCCCAAATGAAAGAAGAACATCAGTATTTCCACTTGTTAATGATACTTATTTCAAAATCCCAGCTATGAATTATTCAAGTTTTTCTTGAAATTCTGTCGATAAATTTCCACATTCCTTATGTTGATTCTTCCATCTAAAAGATGTTGTATCTTTATGTTTAACAAATGAGTTCAAAATGTGTGGAACTATTCAGTTGTGAGCTTTCTATCCCCTTCCAGTACATGTTCTATCAGTCAGGGTTCAACCACAGAAGTAGAACCAGTAGGACACATATATTAAGAAATTTATTACAAGGAATTGGCTTATATGATTGTGGGGGCTGGCTAGTAAAGTCATACTTCCACACAATACAACTATCCTGCATACAAACACATTGACCATTTTCCAGATGAGGCTGCCAAGTCCTTGAATGATGTTGAATCTTCTTTTTTAACATCCTGTAACTTAAATTTTGAAGTATAAAGTCAACTATTAATACATCTTATGTTCAATGATAAGGAATAAGAGGGAAGAAAACAAAAAATATTTGGCTAATATAAACATACTCATAACTATTACAGCTCTGTTTCTGCAACTGGTCACATGGTCTTCCAGGGCTGACTTAAGACAGCTAACAAGATCTTTCCATGTGGACCAAGCACCATCTCCCTAAGTTTGATAATATGGTTCTTTCATGATCTGGTCTTCAGCATACCTCTTCTAGTTTCATCTTTCAATAAAATGCCCTGCTACTCAACTATTCCTGCAAGTGCCATCCCGAACTACCTGGAGGTTTCTGAACTGCCCATGCTATATCATTCCTCCTATTTTTGGCCCTGCACTGATTAATGCCTTTTGCACCCATGATTGCTTCTCCTCTTTAGAGGCTACTCCTTGGCCCCTCTCCCCAGAGATGAAATATTTCACCTTCTGATTTTTGAAGTCTGTTCATATTTTCCCTTCCCATTTGCTCTTAAATCAAAATTTCTATTTGAAAAAAATACAATCCAAGACAGGAGTCCCTATGTGCCGCAAATGGTTAAGCGCTCGACTAGCGGAAAGTTGCCAGTTCAAACCACCCAGCTGTTTCTCATAGGCAGGGCTTGGAATTAGTTCCCACTGGAACCTATGCTAAGAATTTGCATTTCTAACAAGTTCCTAGGCCAGGCTGATACTGCTAGTCAGGGACCAATTCTGAGAACCACTAGCACAGCATTGGTTCTCAAAATTTATTATACATAAGAATCACCTAGGGATCTTGTTAAAATGTAGATTCGGATTCAGTATATCTGGGGTGGAAATGCAAATTCTTAGCAGGAGTTCGAACGTGATCGAAGCCCTGGCAATCTACTTCCAAAAGGTCACAGCCTTGAAAATCCTATGGAACAGTTCTACTCTGCAGGAGTAGGGAACTGACTGTATGGCAACAACATAATCCAAGAACACACACTGGGCTGCGCCTGCTCCACTGGGTCGAGTTGAACCCGGTCGCCAGTCCCATCAGCTCCCGGAGTGTCGGGGCGGTAACTCCCAGCCCTGGAGTCAACTTGGCTCACACCGAAGGCCCAAGCCCGCGCGCTCCGGGCGGGTTGCGACGCACTTCGCCCGGAGAAGCCGCAGCATCACTCCCTCTGCCCACATTCCTCGCTCTACAGCCCGTAAACCCGGCCCGCGGAAGGCGACGCTCCAAGCCGAGCGTCACTGAAAGTTGCCCAAACACTTTAGCGCCCTCCACACTGAAGGCCGCCTTCCTCCTCTAGGCCACGACGCGTCCCGCCGCTCACTCCTGGCCTCTCCCGCCCGGGGCCTCCTGACACCGAAGTGCAGCCCGGCGTCGGGGCGGCCGGCAGCGCATGGGGGAGCATGCGCGGTGGCAGGCGCCTCAGCCCGCGCAGGCGCAGCCGCCGGGGCCGCGTCGAAGCCTCGCGGCCCTCCGGGCCCCTCCCGCCGGGTCAGAAGCCGCGGGGCGCGCCGCGGTGACGCGCGCGGAAGCGTCCTGCGGACGCTCTTAAGGTACTGGGAGCGGAGCGGCGGCGGCGGCCACTGCTGGGCCCCCTACGGGAGAGCCGGGACAGCTGGGAGCCGGTGCGGCGGCGACAGCGGCCGCATGAGTCGGGGGGCCATGCCCCAGCCCGGAGCGCGGCCGGGCGCGAGCTGTGCCGAGAAGCCGGCGCGGCAGGCAGGC